GTACGCAATAGGAGTGTGTGCACGTAAATGACCTCTTCCCTACTTCGGCCATCCCCGCCCCCTCCCCCCAGCTCCGGCCTGGGCCCCTCACCTGGAGCCTGCCCCTGGCCAGGCCCCTGTTCTGGAGGGGGTGCCTCACAAGCCTCAGCCAATCATTAGAGGCCAGAGGCGGGGCTACCTCAAGAGGGACCGATGCCTGCTGCCCTCTCCTCTCAGGTCCTGGCATCCGCTCGCTCTCGGACCCGGGGCACATCCATGCCAGACTCCAGGCAGAGCTCAGCCTGGTTTCATTCCCTTAGTGCAGGGGTGGGGACCCTTGTCTCTGCCCAGGGCCATGTGGATAAACATAACATCATCCGGGGGCCACAGAATATTATCACTTAAACATTAGCCTGCTGTAGCGGGTCAAACATTCATTAACTCACCCTTCATGCCTGGGCAGGGCCCGACCACATGATTCCGAGGGCCTTATATGGCCCGTGGGCTGGACATTCCCCACCCCTGTCTTAGTGGCAGGACCCCTTGCAGGATGCCCTTGGCCTCCGGGGCACTGGGACCCTGCAGAGCTCCAGCTATCTTAGTGTTATGATAAACTAAAATAATATAGACTTTAAAAATTCAGTGGCCTTGCAAGAATAAAAGCCAGAGGCCTGCAACCATTTCTTCCGCTCTCCCACCCACGTTCCTCCAGCTACCACTGTCCATGTTAACTGTTAGCCCCTTCTTTGGGTGGTTAGGACGACACAATACATATCCATTCTTACATCTCAATTGGCTTGAAATATCAACTTGGGGTCATCTGTTCGTGATGACAGCTGCAGGCTAATGACCTAGCTTCTAAGACCACGTCCAATGTCGTTGTCATATTGTTGTTCATACAGTCACCACCATTTACAGTATTCCCAGTGTGTCAGTGTTGTTACGCAGCAGGAGATGTGCACTTGTTTGAATCTCCTTTCTTGTGCAGCCTTTTTGTTTTTCCTGGAGTTTCCAGTTGCCTTTGCTTTTGTTTGTTTGTTTGTTTTCCCTCTTGGTCTTTATAATATCCTCACGTGGGGAAGGGCTGTGGTATTTGTGGTCTGTTTTCTCTTCACGTGCTACATCATGTCCTTTTTGTTCCCGAGACCTGCTGTCTGGGACTCTGATCTCCTGCTTCTATCTGGACTGGTATTCATGTAGCCTGAACCATCTAAGCATTTATCAGAGACACACGACCCAGCAGGATGCAGGCGGGGAACCAGGCCTGTGACGCAGCAGCCTGGCCCCTGAACAGTTCCACGAAGCCCCATAAACCCCGGAACCGCCTCTCCCCTGAGGGCCGAACCCCCCTCCCCGCAGCCATGACTCACACACGCACAGCGCAGCCTCTCACCTCACCTAACCCCCTGCTTCTCCTCGGTGGTGGTGGTTGGAGAGGGGGGTAATTGATGGATTGTGCACACAAATCCAAGTCAGACAAGCCTATCAGAGCCTCGTGGTTCATTCATGAGCACTTCCTGCTCTTTTATCATTGGCTCACGCTTCCACTTTCATACCAAGTCATGTGTCTTTAGCTTTACCAGTGATATTCCCTCTCCTTCTTCTTTCATTTCTTTCATTCAGACTCACTGTTAGCCCCACAGAACAGTGTGTTCAATCAGAACTTACACAGAATCACCTGTGTGTTGGTTAAAGGTGTTGTTCCTGAACCCCACACTTCTGGAGGTGGGGGTGGGACCCACACCTTTAACAAGATTCCCAGGTGATTCTTGTGCATGCTCAGGTGTGAGACTGCTGATACACAATAGCCCCCCCTTATTGGCGGGGGACACGTTCCAAGACCCCTCATGGATGCCCGAAACCACGGATGGTGCCGACCCCTATAGGGGCTATGTTTTCTCCTGTGTATACTTACCTCTGAGAAAGTTGAATTTACAATTAGACGCAGTCAGAGATCGACAATAATAAGTGATCATAAAATAGAACAATCACAGCACTAGACTGTGTGAAATGAACGTTAGTGGCTGTGGTAATATTAAGTGAAATCAGGGTGAGTTGGCACAAGCCCTGTGCTCCCATGAGGACAGCGTCGACAGCGTGGGCACGCTGGACAAAGGGGTGACTCATGTCCCGAGTGGGAGGGGCAGGATGGCGTGGGGTTTTATCACAGTATCCAGAGCAGCCTGCAATTTAAAACGCATGAACTGTTCATTGAATTGTTTATTTCTGGAATATTCCATTGAATATTTTCAGGCGGTGGTTGACCCTGTGGGAAACAAATCCGTGGATAACAGGGGGCTACTGTATACAGTCAGTCCGACACTCTCTCCCCAAAGCAGCGGAGCTCATGGCTGAGCCTCCGGCACCAGGACCCTCCAGGCAGAGGAGACTCTCACATACATCATTCCTCCCCCCGCCCCCCAGCTTCCACGGCTGCTCTTCAAGGTCATTAGCAGGTTATTCAGTTCTCCGAGATCACACTCATCTCTCAAGCTGCACGGACACCTCACCAGGTGCCAGGCACACGCCTTGTAGACATTCTCTCCCGGACTCGGAGATTGTGCAGCCTGACTGCCTCTCCTGCCTGCCCCTCCCCCCGGGGGGCCTGGAAGCCACCCTCGCACCCACCCCCACCCCCCTCTGCATCTCTCAGACCCCACTGCCCTCACTGCAGCCCCAGCTCCCCACCTCGACCTCTGCGCTCCCTCCTTGCGGCTGTGAGAAAGCGGGTCTGCGGGGACTTTCACAGGCCTCATTCCCCAAGGCTCCCTGGTCATGGAGGTTTGCAGATGGTGGAAGAAATCAAGTTCAACACATGTCAGAGACCTGCTCAGAGCTGTAAACGCCCATGCCCTGGGCACACCCCAAAGGGGAGCTGTCGGCAGAAGCCTTTGCTTTTCAAACTTGTTTGCACAATGAACTCTTTTGTCTGGCAGATTTTTACCCACCTCAACACACACACACTCACACTCACACACATCTCATGTCTCATGCATACATATGTGTGCACACACACACTCACATATATGCACATCTCATGCATACATATGTGCACATGCACATGAACATACACACTCACAGATACACACATCTCATGCATACATGTGTACACACACTCACATCTCATGCATACATATGTCCACACACATCTCATGCATACATATGTACACTCACACAGTCACATCTCATGCATACATATGTGCACACACACACACACTCACACACATTCACACACACCGATACATACATCTCATGCACACACTCACATATGTGCACACACTCACGCACATTCACATACACATGCACTCACTGATACACACACCTCATGCATACACGTGGGCGCACACACACACACACACACACACACACAGCTCACTAGTGTTCTTCCGACCACCCTCCCGGAAGCGGTGCCCTGGCGCCTGAGTCCATGAGGCCACATCCAGGGAGGCAGAGCCCCGGTCTGACCGTGAGAGAGAGGGCGGCCCGGGGCCCCGAGGGGAGAGAGAAGGAGCAGGTCCCTAAACAGAAAAATCCGTCAGGTGGTCAGCTCGACCCACGCGCATCCCCAGAGGCTGACTCTGCCCCGGAGACGTGCCCACAACTAGTTCAGGACGAGGCGGGAGGTAAACATGCTGTAAACACGTGCCACCTGGGACGGAGAAGCCGCAGGGAGGGTGGCGGGCGGCGG